TTTTTTTTTTTGTTCTTGTCGCTGTTTTGTTTTGTTTTTGTGCTGGTAGCTGTGTTTTTGTTTTTTTTGTTTTTTCTTTTTTCCCGTGTTTGCATTTCTTTTTTTCCTACTTCCAAACCCCAAGCTTTATAGGGTGTGTGATTAAATTCAGATAACGGATATTTTGTTCATAGGACATGTTTCCGCAGGAACCCTATACTGGAAGACATATTCCATGCGCTACAAATCTGGATAATAACTAAGAAAATATTGTGTCCATATTATACTCAAGCCGTTATCTGAGAGATAATGATATCATCGTTTGCACACTATTAATTCATGATAAGGACAATATGCACTATGAGACGTTGCGACATTTATTAGCACAATATGTGCGGAAAAGGGCACTAGGGGGGAATCCACAAGGATATATGGTAATTTATTGTGAGGGCAAAATGGAGAGAGCAGGCGCCTACACATATGTATGTGTATACGTGCACGATAGGCACGGTACTCAGTTTGCATCATACATATGTTCACATTTCGTGAACGGGAAATCATATGCTCGATGTGAGCATAGCATACGAGGTACAGCATGTAGCATAGCGGCGACTGCCGTGAGTATCTTCCGTGAAGACAAGAGAATGATATATATGTACATGCCCCCGCATTACTCCAATTGTAGACAAGTTTATGGAAGGATATAGAGGACCAACTGGAGAAGTTTATGGAAACATTGGACGACGATATTGTGGAGCTCTATGCAGCTAATTGTTTAAACAAGGGTTATAAAAGTCTGAGGAGAGCAGGCACACCTGTGGCAAAGATAGTCGCGGATAGACTAATGTGCACACTCATGACCAAAGCATTATATTTTATGAATGAGAACACTTGGAACATGCGGCGCACGCATACAGAGGTTACTAAAGATGATGAGCTGAAGGAATATGTGCGGTGTGCCATAGTAAATATATTTATGTACATATTGCTGGCATATCCATGCAGAAGTACAATGGGGATAGATAATGCATGGTACACCATGAAACAGATGGAACAAGGGTCAGGGGATGGTTTAATAACCAACGGTAAATGTGGACAGGGAGTGTTTGCAGATATACAAATCAAGGACTTCAACATGGAGCAAATGATTAAGGCATGGTTAGAGAACAACCCGAGGTTGACTGACAAAATTGGAGGGCCACGCATAGAAAGCATATGTACGAAAAAACTAGAAGAACTTGACGGGGCCACACAGGATGCACATACCATGCCTGACAACACAGACCTGAGGGAAAAGGAGAAAGAAGCTATACAGACACTAAGCAAAGACCTGAAGCTCATAGTTGAGGAGGTAAAGACAGAAGTAGTGCAATGCGCGGAGGACAATGACGCATGCATGCAGTCTATCGACGCTGTCACCCGTAGCAATCCGGAGGATGATGACAGTGAGGCCTCAGCACCCAACTCTGTCGCAAGCGCTACACCAGCACCAAACGAACCGCCAGGTAAGGACCGATGGGATAAAGCACCAATACGGCCGGCACCGATACGACTGCGGATGGATGCTGCCAACAACAGCACACACAACTACGCATGGATGCCATCACAACAACGCACACGGCAGCCACAACAGCACAGCACGGCGCAGCTCCCTCGTTGAGCCCAGATGTGCGGCCAAGACGGTAGCGACGAGGCACCCGACGACGACACGACGGCGACAACAAATAAAAGTGTAATGCTTTTATCCACTCATTGTACCGTACCTTTCCACATTGCACTCCCTCCTTTTCCGTTCCAATGTTTCCATAGTGACCGTAACCAACTGTACTATATTTGCACTACTGGACAAAGGAAACAGAAAAAAAAAGATTACTAGAGACGTATTCCCCTACATGCTGATACATGGTACATTTGAGGCAACTGAGATGGGGCTTGTGCGACAGCATATTAGATCCTTTCGTACACAAGTGCATTATATAGAACACTAGAATAATATGCATATATTCTTGTAATTGTGAAAGTTGATACTTTAAGAAGATAAAAAAAAAAAGAGAAAAGAAAACGAAAAGCCCTAAAATCTTAAGCCCCCTAAACCTCTTAACCTGTAAACTCCGAAAATCTGAACCTTGAAAAGTGAACCATGTATGCGAAACCCTAAACATCGCAATATTGAAGCCTTCAATCCTAAACCTCTTAACCTCCGCAACTGTGGTCCTTGAAGCGTGAACCATAAATCCGGAACCCTAAAGGGCGCTATCCTGAAACCTTACAATTCTGAAACTGTGCAAACCTGAACCGCGCAATCATAAAGACTTACGCCCTAAATCCTAAGCCCCCTGAACCCCAAAATACAAAATTGCCCTACACTTATGTTTGATTTTTATGCATATTCCTTACGCTCTTAATTAAATCCGTTCACACTTTGTCAAAAAGAAGATAGAGATGCGGGTATACACGCATAAGAAGGTTGTGAAACTATATTGCAGCAATTATTATTTATCACTACGCGTAATAAATCTGAGAACGATATAAATGACGACCCCCATAAATAATAAACGGCCACGATATACATGTATAATTATGCGAATACGTGATAATAACAACCCCATCTAAACACTGATACAAATGTACCTTTGAGCCCACGGCTCTACACCCCAAAAAATTTTTTGTCGCCGTTCTTGTATGTAAAACGAGCTATAATTGATTCTCTGCATATTATTTTCTTCACCCTTATACCTGACTTAAAGAGAATAAAGTGTTATTCCACTTGCGGAATTCCATAATCCGGTGTATGCAATGTGATCCTGTTACGCCGTTAACACAGAGATATCATGGATGAGCCTGTATTAGATTTGTGAAAACTGTTGACCACTTTAAGTAATGTTGCATCATATAATATGTACCCAAAATGCGTTCTTCACCGTGTTGTTCCGTACTTTCTTCTTCCTTTATATTATGGTGCATATGGGCTCTTTACTTAATTCATATTGATGTACTTAGGTAATCATAGTAAACCTCGTACAAAATTGATTTTATCAATATTCACTATTGGCCGCTGAAAAGAAGTATTACGCGCATAATCTATACACCTACATGTGGAAGAAGCAGAAAACAATTGTATAATTCATACATATGAACAATATATCGCCACTCCTAACATTTTCTACACGGAAGGAAAAAAACGGAACACAATGATGTTGCTTGTGAAATTTTCTATATGTATTATGGCCCTGTGTTTTGGGCAAATTGCTGGTTGTGTATGATATGAACAGCTGTATTTTGGGGGAGTTACCACATTTGTTGTGATAAGATCTTAACTCTTACATAACAACTATAACCCTGCCTATAATTTTTTTTGTACGCTGTGCACGCTTCTATGCATACACCATAACACTCGCACATATGTATTGCATTTTTTTTGTACATTTTAGGCGAGTACCATAGGTACATCATCGGGTAATGGCACAAGTGAATATGACACAGAAGATGCAACTACGAATGCAAGTACAATTGCTACGACCAGCGTGTCGTTGAGTGATGCAACGGATGTAGGGAAACGGGGTGAACGTAATTTTTATGGTGGCCGTGCGACGGGTAGTCCCGTGAAGAACACACTGTTCGATGACATGCGAAGAAAATTTAAACCCAAGGTGCACGTCAAGAATCCAGGACCTGTAAAGAGGAAGCCACAGAGTGGAACAGCGCAGAACAAGCTGAAGGAATGTTGTCAGAAATTGAAACGTTGTAAAATGGGGAGAAGAGCATGGTTGGCGCTTATATTAGTACTCTCAGTTATTTACCCATTACTTCTGTCCGAAGTAGGAGTACATATGTTGCTTGCGATTTTTTATGTGATGGTTGGTCAATTCAATTTTACGCTGTTCATGACCAGGTATGTACCTTCCATGCTGATTCCAATTATCTATTCCTGCGTGCTAGTATGTTTCTGGTGCTCGAAGAAGGGAAAATGTATAGTAAATAGAATTTGCAAGGACGAAACTCGCACAGAAACGGAAAAAAACGAAGGAGAAGCAAATAAGAAACCGGAAGTTCCAAAGAAACCAGAAGTACCAAAGACACCTGAAGTACCTAGCAAACTAAAAGTACCATGGAAACTGAAATTACGTAAAAAACCATAAGTACGTGCCGTATTCTATTTCTCGTAGATTATGTTGACGTTAGGATATCGTATTCGTCTATTTACTGGATCAACCATCTCATGATGTCGTATACGCTGTGGTTTATATGGCTTATTCATATTTATATTACGTACCTTATTATTGTTCCTTATACTATAGTATTGTTTGTACTTTTTCCGAATATATATGTGTTTTGTGCTTATGTTGTATACTGTGGACTTATATAAACTGTTTTGCGTGAATATTAAGAAGGGGAAACCCATTGTTAAGAAGGGTTTAGGGTTCAGGGTTTAGGGTTCAGGGTTTAGGGTTTAGGGTTCAGGGTTTAGG